GCACTCCCAGCAGAGTCTCTCGAAATACTCAGCTTATTCCCCTCCTTCCCCCCGATAATACTTATGCAAACAAGCCACACCAGAGTAAGAGTATCTCATATCATCAGGGTTAAAAGCAAGAGTATCTCATATCATGCTTTTTCCCTATCTTTTCCTTTGCCCTTGCTCTTACCTGCAGGACAAGGAGAAAAAATGCAATCAGTCAGAACCTGAAATCAAACTTCCGATCTGGAACTGATTGCCCATAATCTTTGCATGGTTGTTCGCCTAACATTGCTCTCGAGTACTTATCCTCAACTGTTGTCAAGGTCATGAAGTCCTTCAGCAAATACCTCAGAACAGTTGATACGATATTGACGCTTTACATTGAAGCTGCCACGCATGGATGAGTCGCTGAGAAGTAGTGCTCTGAATGACCATTTAAATGCAAAGGTTGCATTCCACTCCTGCATCAGGGACAAATGTTGTAAGAGATTGAAGCAGAAGGATCAATGATGAGCTGGAACAGATCATTACAGCACGATGCCCTTCCTGCAGAACCACACAACCCAGACAGAGGAGTCTAAATCAAATCCAAACCCAGCATCGCTACCCTATCCGAAGAACTCGAGAAGCTTCAACAATCTTTCCCTATCACCATCACTAAAGAGCAAAGCTTCGCCATACGACACCCACTACTTTGTCGACAGCAAAAGTATTTCATATCATTAGGGTCGAATGTATTCTAGAATTGATGGACTTTTTTTTACCCTCAAATTCTTGAGTCGACCTTATACTCTAGATGAAACCAGAAAACCCTCCAGCCCAGTTCAAGAATAAGCCTGTGGAAAGTTACTTCTTCAAAAGTAAAAGTATCTCATATCATCTCTTCTCCATTTGCTTCTCCTTATCCTTGTTGTTGTTTACGACATAAGGAGAAGGAGAACAATCAACTGGAAGTCGAAGTCGAACCTCCGATCCAGGTTGCTTGCTTGGAAGTCTAATTGTTTACCTTGTCTGTTACCTCATTCGGCAAATCTCATAGCTCGGCGACTTGGGGGACTCATACTATAGGGTTTGTATCGCACTTGACCAAGCCCTAAACTACAAGTAAACTTCAAGTAAACTTCAAGTGAATTGATACATTACCTTGTGCATCTTCATCGGTTAAAGATACCACCCCTGGATGAAGGAAAAGTACTTTAAGAGAAGATGTCATATCTACATATGAGACAAATAAGGCAAGTGAAAATGATACCACACTTTGGTACTTAGAAGTTTTGTGATTACTCAATGGCTTGGATCTTGTAAGTCCCCAACCGAGGAGCTTCCCTCACTCGAAAACTTAAGGGAGCACTGTTTGTACCATACTTGACCAATCCCGGAACTACTGAGCACCGGTCAACGTTATACCGTCAAGGACCCAGAAGAGTTTCCCTTCAACCAGGAGACCAATCACAGCGCGACACGTGTCGACATCAGAAGCCAATCATAGCACGACACGTGTCAACATCAGAAGCCAATCACAACACGACACGTGTCAATGTCAGACTGAAACTAGAAACTCGTTTCTATAAATAGAGATCATTCTCTCACAATATTTCCTAATGTCATTTGTACTAAATCATTCACTAGTACTCACTAAAGGAGATCTTGAACCTATGTACTTGTGTAAACCCTTCACAATTAATGAGAACTCCTCTACTCCATTGACGTAGCCAATCTAGATGAACCACGTACATCTTGTGTTTGCTTCTTTGTCCCTATCCATTTACATACTTATCCACACTAGTGACCGGAGCAATCTAGCGAAGGTCACAAACTTAACACTTTTTGTTGTACCAAAGTCCTCATTAATTTTGTGCATCAACACACTGATTTAAGCATTCGTGGGATAAAACAAGCGTTCATTTGACACGCTTTGCAGCTTAAGCAAAAAAAACATAAATATAACGCTACTAAGACATTAATAATGAGTTCTCAAACGATCAAATGCTTATTTGGTGTCAAAAGTACACTATTTTTTTATTTGGAGTGTATTTGCACTATTTTCAGCATTTTTTGGATAAAACGAGCGAGCGTTTGACACGCTTCGGAACTTAAGCAAACAAACACATCTAATATGAGACATGGATATTAATAATGAGTTCTCTAAAGATCAAATTCTTATTTGGTGTCAAAAGTACACTATTTTTATATTTTGGGTGTATTTTGCACAGTTTTAAGCATTCGTTGGATAAAACAAGCATGCGTTTGACACGCTTTGGAACTTAAGCAAACAATCACATATAATATGCTACTATGACATTAATAATGAGTTCTCAAAAGATCATATGCTTATTTGGTGTCAAAAGTACACTATTTTTGTATTTTGAGTGTATTTGCACTTTTTTAAGCATTCGTGGGATAAAAAGACCGTTCGTTTGACATGCTTTGGAGCTTAAGCAAATAACCACATATAATACGCTACTGAAGACATTAATAATGAGTTCTCAAAAGGTCAAATGCTTATTCTGAGTAAAAAATCCACTATTTTTGTATTTTGAAATTATTTGCATAGTTTTAAGCATTCGTGGGATAAAATGAGCGTTCGTTTGACAAGCTTTGGAACTTAAGCAAAAAAACACATATAAGACATTAATAATGAGTTCTCAAAAGATCAAATTCTTATTTGGTGTCAAAAGTACACTATTTTTAAATTTGGAGTGTATTTGCGCAGTTTTAAGCATTCGTTTGATAAAACGAGCGTGCGTTTAACACGCTTCGGAACTTAAGCAAACAAACAAATATAATATGCTACTATGACATTAATAATGATTCCTCAAGAGATGAATTGCTTATTTGGTGCCAAATTTACACTATTTTTATATTTTGAGTGTATTTGCACTGATTGAAGCATTCGTGGGATAAAACGAGCATTCATTTGACACGATTTGTAGCTTAAGCAAACAAACACAAATATAACGCTACTAAGACATTAATAAAGAGTTCTCAAAAGATCAAATGCTTTTTTGGTATCAAAAGTACACTATTTTTGTCTATTGAGTGTATTTGCACTATTTTAAACATTCGTTGGTTAAAACAACCGTGCGTTTAACACGCTTTGGAACTTAAGCAAAAAAAAATACACAAAACACTACTAAGACATTAATAATGAGTTCTCAAAGGATTTATTTGGTGTCAAAAGTACACTATTTTTGTATTTGGAGTGTATTTGCACTGTTTTAAGTATTCGTTTGATAAAATGAGCGTACATTTAACACGCTTCAGAGCTTAAGCAAACAAACAAATATAATATGCTACTATGACATTAATAATGATTCCTCAAAAGCAGAATTGCTTATTTGGGGTCAAAAGTACACTATTTTTATATTTTGAGTGTATTTGCACTGTTGTAAGCATTTGTGTGATAAAACGATTGTGCTTTTGACACGCTTTGGAACCTAAGCAAACAAACACACATAAAACACTACTAAGACATTAATAATGAGTTCTCAAATGAACAAATGCTTATTTGGTGTCAAAAGTACACTATTTTTGTATTTGAGTGTATTTGCACTGTTTTAAGCATTTTTTGGATAAAACGAGCGTGCGTTTGACACGCTTCTGAACTTAAGCAAACAAACACATATAATATGAGACTAAGACATTAATAATGAGTTCTCTAAAGATCAAATGCTTTTTTTTTGGTGTCAAAAGTACACTATTTTAGTATTTTGAGTGTATTCGCATTGTTTTAAGCATGTGTGGGATAAAACGATCGTGCGATTGACACGCTTTGGAAATTAAGCGAACAAGCACATATAATACGCTACTAAGACCTTAATAATGTGTTCTCAAAAGATCAAATGCTTATTTGGTGTCAGAAGTACACTATTTTTGTTTTTTGAGTGTATTTGCACTATTTTAAGCATTCGTGGGATAAAACGAGTGTGCGTTTGACTCGTTTCGGAACTTAAGCAAGCAAACACATATGATGTGGAGACATCTAGCTCTGAAGACGTTTATGATGTGGCTGCTTCAATTGGATGAGAGCTGCCTCCAAGAATGGTACGTCTCACTGATCTTGCACAATTTATTGGAGCAAATAAGGGAAGGGGCAAAAGTCAAAGAGTTTGTTTTTCATTCTTCACTTGTTCAGTTCATTCTTCGTCTCACTATTTTTTTTTTATTTTTTTATTTTTTGACTAACGATAGCCTAGTGGGTTAAATTGTTAGTTGTTAGGGGGAGGGAGATTGGTGGGGATCGAACCCGCACCAAGGTGCATAGGCATGATTGCTTTCTGCCATGTGGTAAAGCGCCATCTTCATGCTTCATCTCACTACGATTCATAGTATGTTTGTCTCTAGCAGCTGGCTTCTATATTTATTGGAGTTGCTTGGTCTGGGTGCCATCCATTTGTACTTCTCCAGATATGTACATGGTCAATCATCCGACAAATCAGCACTAGTTTGCCCAGCTTATTAAAGTTGTGAATTTAATCATCATATTTCTGTAGGATTTCTGAAGGTGCGTTCTATTTGTCACCTTATTTCCATATTTTGAAGTATGCTCTTCCCTTGGTTAATATTGATATGTATATGTAGATCATGTATGTGGTAGTTATTGTGGGGTTATGGATGCTCAATGATAATGTGAGAAAACAGGGTTAACCATTATACTTTGGTTATTGTTTAGGTTGTTTGGATGAATTAGGTTGCAGCTTTTTGCATCTGGAAAATTTGGATTTTAGTGAAAATTTACAAGTGCACCTAGCAGTACAAATTAAAATCGATTCATCTGTTCTTTTCATCTCATTTCTTCCTCTTATCATTTGTCACATTTCTTTGCTAGCACTTTATGTTGTGGTGGATTGTGCGTCTGCCACAAGTATGAAATGACAGGCAAAACCAAGAATTTCGAAAAGCAACATGCTTGATGTGGGGAAAATTTCTATTAGAGGTGCGTGTTCTTGTCTGAAACTATTAGAGGTTTTTGGTTTTTATGAAATTTATAATGTGATTCTTATCTCATACTATGTATAGTTTGGTATATGTTGGCTGACAGAAAAGTCGCAATATGTCCATATCTTCAGAGGCGGTTGCTTCTACACTACCACATACGGGGAATCAAAGATAAGCCTTCGTTCAACCTCAGAATGGTGAGTGTTTCAATTTTAGTTTGTATTTATGACACTGCATATGAATATAGTTGAATACTATAGTCTCACTGCTTTTGTCGAACAAGGGGAGTGAGTTAAGTTGTGATTTCTTCATTTCGTGCAATATAGAATTGATTAATCATATGAGGCCAAGAGTGCGTCGTGTAAATCTACAAAATAATGTATCAGGCGAATGAAATTATTGGAAGACTAAGCTGAAAAAGCGGTCTCACTTTGCGCGACACATTCTAATTTCATGCATGTCTAAGAATTTGAGAATTAAGCTGGTGCTTTTGCTAAAATCATTGCTGACTCTGCAGATGGGGTTTATGTCAAAGAAGTTGTAATGAGAATTACAACTATAATTACACTTCGGCGTAAAGGGAATGAAATTAAGGTGTTCAACCTACCCGGAATCCAAGTATCAAAAAACCTAAATGACGAAGAGAAGGCTTCCCCATTTTCCAATTAGTCTGGGATGATGTGGTGTTTACTGTCCTCGCCAAAGCATTAAGCCAACTCTCGGAACTCAGTTCCTTAATATGATTATGCAGTCCTCACCATATACCTGCCTTTTATTTTGAAAATGAGCTTGTATAATGTAAAACATGTAGGCACTTGCTAGAAATTTGTTGATTCTAAATTCGAATGAGCTTCATTCTCATTGTTTCACATAAAAAATTTATGATGTTGCACTTATATCTCAAACAACTCCGCCGTGTAAGTTTATCTTACATTGCCGGTCCCAAGCCCGGATAAAGGAGGAGGGGGAGGGCGTCAGGTAGTCGACAGCCGGCACTCCATGATCACGTCGAATCCTTATGAAAATGAATCCAGAACGAAATCGCGCTAAAGCTAGGGCGTCATCCGTAAGTGGCGCGCTGTGTGGCCCGAGCACAGTGATAAGTGAGCAAGGGTCGCTGTATCTCCATCGGCACCCGGATGCAGTGTTAAATGAGCAAGGGGGCTATAGAAACTTCTTTTCGAACGACTCCACTCAAAGTTGTTTGGGAGCATATGCTCCTATCAACTTTACACGGGACACACAAAAGAAGTACTTTGATCCTATTAGACGGGGAAGGGTGAAGAAGCTAGGACAGAAGGGTAGAGTTCAAGAGAGCAAAATGCGTTTAGGAACGTGGAATATAGGAACCTTAACGGGAAAATCTATGGAAGTAGTGGAAGTTATGGTGAGGAGAAGGATAAATATTATGTGCCTACAAGAAAACTAAGTGGGTTGGTAGTAAGGCAAAGGATCTAGAAAACTCAGGGTTTAAACTTTGGTATTCGGGCACAAATAGAACGAGAAACGGTGTTGGCATCATCGTGGACAAGACCTTGACACAAGATGTTGTAGATGTCAAGAGGGTAGGAGATAGAATCATGGCAATCAAGATTGTAATAGGACAAGAACTTATCAATGTGATTAGTGCGTACGCACCTCAAGTAGGGTTGGATACGAGTTCGAAGGAGAAATTTTGGGAAGACCTTGGAGACTTGGTGCAAGGAATTGCTCAGACGGAGAAGTTATTTATAGGAGGAGATTTAAATGGACACGTGGGCAGGGAGACAGGCAACTATGGAGGTTTTCATGGTGGCCATGGTTTTGGGGAGAGAAACGAGGATGGGGAAGCTATCTTGGATTTTGCAATGGCATATGATCTCTTCTTAGCCAACACCTTCTTTAAGAAGAGAGAAGAACATGTGATCACCTACAAGAGTGGGTCGTCAAAAAACACAAATAGATTTTCTTCTAATGAGGAAAGGGGATCGTATAACTTGTAAGGATTGCAAAGTTATACCAGGAGAGAGCGTGGCTAATCAACATCGCTTGTTGGTGATGGATGTACATATCAAAAGAGTGAGAAAAAAGAACAAGACTTGGAAGTGCCCAAGGACTAGATGGTGGAATCTAAAAGAAGAAAAACAAGCCATTTTCAAAGAGAAAGTAATCACCCAGTGTGTGTGGGATAGAGAGGGGGAAGCTAGCCAAATGTGGGATTCCATGGCTAGTTGTATCCGAAAAGTAGCAAAAGAGGTATTAGGAGAGTCCAAGGGCTTTGCCCCACACCAAAAGGAATCTTGGTGGTGGAATGAGGAGGTACAAACAAAGGTGAAGGCTAAGAAGGAATGTTGTAAAGCCTTATACAAGGATAGGACCGATGAAAATGGTGAAAGGTATAGAAAAGCGAAGCAAGAGGCGAAGAAAGCTGTGAGAGAAGCTAAGTTAGCGGCTTATGACGATATGTATAAACGCGACTAGATACCAAAGAAGGAGAGTTGGATATCTATAAACTAGCTAGAGCAAGGGAAAAGAAGACAAGGGACCTAAACCAAGTGAGGTGCATCAAGGATGAGGATGGAAAGGTTCTTGCTACAGAGAACGCGGTTAAAGACAGATGGAAAGGTTATTTTCATAATCTTTTCAATGAAGGACATGAAATGAGTGCTTCTTTAGGGGAGTTGAGTAACTCAGAAGAGTGTAGAAACTACTCTTTTTATCGTCGAATCCGGAAGGAAGAAGTGGTTGTAGCTTTGAAGAAGATGAAGCATAGAAAAGCAGTAGGCCCAGACGATATACCGAAGTGTGGAAAGTTTTGCAGGTATAACATGGCTCACTGACCTGGATTTTGAAAACGAAGAAATGCCAAATGAGTGGCGAACGAGCACTTTGGTGCCTATCTACAAGAATAAGGGCGACGTACAAAATTGCATGAACTATAGGGGTATTAAGCTAATGAGTCATACAATGAAGCTCTGGGAGAGAGTCATTGAGCATAGATTGAGGCAAGAGACACGGGTTTCGGACAACCAATTCGGGTTCATGCCAGGGCGCTCAACCATGGAGGCAATCTATCTCTTACGAAGATTGATGGAAAGATATAGAGATGGGAAAAAGGATTTACACATGGTCTTTATAGATTTGGAAAAAGCGTATGATAGGGTCCCAAGAGACATTCTTTGGAGGATTTTAGAGAAGAAAGGAGTACGAGTAGCATATATCCAAGCTATAAAGGATATGTATGAAGGAGCAAAGACTGCCGTAAGAACTCATGAAGGACAAACCGAAAGCTTTCCCATAACTGTAGGATTACATCAAGGCTCATCCTTAAGTCCTTACCTTTTTGCGTTGGTAATGGATGAGTTAACAGGACATATTCAAGATGATATTCCTTGGTGTATGCTTTTCGCAGACGATATAGTGTTGATAGATGAAACTCAGGAAGGGGTAAATGCAAAGCTTAACCTTTGGAGAGAAGTGTTGGAATCTAAAGGTCTTCGCCTAAGCCGATCAAAGACAGAATATATGGAGTGCAAGTTCAGTGCAAATGGAGGCCAAAACGAGTTAGGGGTGAGGATCGGAGATCAAGAAATACCAAAGAGCGACCGTTTTCGTTACCTAGGATCTATCTTGCAAAAGAACGGAGAATTAGATGGAGATCTCAACCATAGAATACAAGCTGGATGGATGAAGTGGAAGAGTGCATCCGGCGTGTTGTGTGACCGCCGTATGCCACTGAAGCTCAAGGGAAAATTTTATAGGACGGCAATAAGGCCGGCGATGCTGTATGGCACAGAATGTTGGGCGGTGAAGCATCAACAACACGTACACAAAATGGGTGTAGCGGAGATGAGGATGCTTCGTTGGATGTGTGGGCACACGAGAAAGGATAAGATTAGGAATGAGGATATCCGGGGTAAAGTAGGAGTAGCCGAAATTGAAGGAAAGATGAGAGAAAAATCGGTTACGGTGGTTTGGACATGTGCAAAGAAGGCCTACTGACGCTCCGATTAGAAGATGCGACTATGGGACAGAGGTTCAGGGCCGAAGGGGTAGAGGAAGACCTAGGAAAACTTTGGAAGAGACCCTAAGAAAAGACTTAGAGTACTTGGATCTAACGGAAGGACATGACACAGGACGAGAACAATGGCGTTCTAAGATTCATATAGCCGATCCCACTCAGTGACTTGGATTTTCCAAGTCTCCAACCGAGAAGTTTTCCTCACTCGGGAAAATTAAGGGAACACTACCTCAACCTACATGCTCCACTCACAAAGCTTCAACATACAAGCTTCAACAAAAGAAAATTCAAAGAACTTAGCGAAGAAGGCTTTGGTGTATTTAACACAATACGTTGAAATGAAGGAAAGCTTATTTATTGATATCCCCGATAAGCTTACAAATATGTACATATACATGAGTCAAAATAAACAAACAAGAGGGAGCCTTCACAAAGGTTGCTTAGGAGAAGTCTCAGCAGTCGGTAGAGCCCCAGAAAGAGAAGGCACCGGAGGGGGATCATTCGGAGCCTCAGTACTGGACAGAACCCTAGAAGGAGGAGGCATCAGAGGTTGATCATTTGGAGCTTCATTACGCGGTACAGCCCCAGAAGACGAAGGCAATAAATGCCTTTGGAACAAACCCACAAATCTCTGATGATCAAGTAAAACCTGACCATCAGATTTCCTTCATCTGGTCAAGCTTCCTCTTCATGTTTGTAGCATAGTCATGTGCGAGCCGGTGCAACTGTTTATTCTCATGCTTGAGCCCTCTAATCTCCTGTTTGAGACTCATCACTTCAGCCGCCAATGATTCAACTTGGCGGGTTCGAGCAAATAGGCGTTGGGCCATATTAGACACAGAACCTGCACACTGAACACTGAGAGCCAGAGAATCCTTAACAGCTAACTCATCAGACCGTTTGGAAAGTAGTCTGTTATCTTTGGGAGTGAGAAGGTTCCTGGCCACCACCGCAGCGGTCATATCATTCTTCATCACGGAATCCCCAACGGTAAGAGGACCAGTAGGGGAGACGAAGGATGGGCGCCATATGTTGTCTGGAGAAGGCGGGGCTGCCTCTTCAACAAGGTTCAAGTCAAAACGACGGTCGGAGGGGCCAGACATTTTCAAAGGTGTTGAAGAGAGAAGAGGTCGGACAAATCAAGATCTTAGAAGTGCAAGAATGGAGCTTCTACTGGTGGAGATTCAAGTGTGCTTTGGAACTTAATGTCCAGCCCCTATAAAAAAAATCTGCACTCGACGAAGCTTCAGAAATCGAAGAGGCGCCTGCTCAGAAATCGAAGAGGCGTTTGCTTTCTCAAAAGCTGGGCTGCTCAAAGACCACGAAGGCCGATCTCAGAAATCGAAGAGGCGTTGCTTTCTCAAAAGCTGGGCTGCTCAAGAGACCACGAGGGCCGATCTCAGAAATCGAAGAGGCACCTACTTTTTCCAGCCTTGTCAGCACCTGTCACACGCACACTCAGCTTTGCGGAAATTATGGGCATTCTGTCGAAGATTTCTGGCGAAGTAGAAAGCACATGAATCGTTACTGTTCAATCACCCACTTCCCACACGCAACAATAGCTCATGGGTACCACAGATAACTTTGCCAAAGTTCTCTGACCAAAGTTGAGACACGTGAAGCTTGCAGCTCCCACTACATCGCTCTGACCAAGAAGGGTAAAAGAATAGCAAAGAAACAACACTAACAAAGTTTAGACACATAAATTTTGAAGGTCTAGCTACCATATTATTACCCACAAGGGTAAAGGAACAGTACCACTGCTGGATAATTGGAAAGTCCCTGTGTGTCAACCTCTGTGCTTCGTGGCAAGGTAGACTAGCAAACATGCCCAACCTTTACTCACATTCGAGAAAACACTCCCAACAAGATTGCTTGCTCCAAAATCGAAGAGGCACCGTCCTCCGAATCTCGAGAGCCAGACTCCCAACATGATTACTTTCTCAAAAATCGAAGAGACACCGCTCTCCGAATCTCGAGAGCCAGACCCCCAGCAGGATTGCTTTCTCAAAAATCGAAGAGGCATCGTTCTCTGAATCTCGAGAGCCAGATCCCTGACAGGATTGCTTGTTCAAAAACCAAAGAGGCACCACTTTCCCAACTTCAAGAGCTGGATCTCCTTGGATAAAGCTTGTCTGTAATCTTCACACGCAACATCAGCTTTCCAGATACCACAGACCACTTTTTCAAAGTGCTCTGACAGAGTTAAAACATGTGAAGTTGGCAGCTCCCACTACCGTGCTATGACCAAGCAGGGTAAAGGAATAGCATTATTACTTGATGTTAGGGAGACTCCTATATATGTCGACCTCCATCCCCAACGGACAGGCAGACCTGCAAAAATGCTCAACCCTTTCCTCTTATCTGAGAGGGCACTCCCAACGAAGCCTTTCGAAATATTCAGCTTTCTTTCCCCCCGATAATACCTCTGTAAAACAAGCTATACTAGAGCAAGAATATCTCATATCATCAGGGTTAAAAGCAAGAGTATCCCATATCATGCTTTTTCCCTGTCTTTTCCTTTGGCCTTGTTCTTACCTGCAAGACAAGGAGAAAGAGAGCAATCAGTCAGCACTTGGAATCAAGCTTCCAGCCAGGAACTGACTGCCTGGAACCCCTTACCTGATTACTTACCTGGCATTGCTCTCGAGTACTCATCTTCAACATCTTATGCTTCCAGGGAAGATACCGCATCTGCCTGAGGAACAGATAGGGCAAGTGAGAAGGATACAAGGAAGCATGTGGAGACAAGCGTAACAGCACACGTGCCGATACATCCACTTACTCTGTCAAAAGCAAAAGTATCCCATATCAGCAGGGTCGAACGTACTCTAGATTTGATGGACTTGTTTTGACCCTCAAATTCTTCAGTCGGCCTTATACTCTGGAGGAAACCAGAAAACCCTCCAGCCCAGTTCAAGAATAAGCCTGTGGAAAGTTACTTCTTCAAAAGCAAAAGTATCCCATATCATCTCTTCTCATTTTTCTTCTCTTTATCCTTCATGCTGCCTGCAAGATAGGGAGAATGTGAACAATCAGCCGGAGCTCTGATTGCTTACCTTGTCTGTCACCTCTTTCAGCAGATCCCCTAGCTCGGCGACTTGGGGGACTCCTACTACATGGTTTGTATCGCGCTTGACCAAGCCTGAAACTACAAGTAAGCTTCAAGTGAAATTGATACATTACCTTGTGCATCTCCACCAGTTACAGATACCACCCCTGGATGGAGGAAGAGTACTTCCAGAGAAGATGCCACATCTACCTATGAGACAGATAAGGCAAGTCAAGACGATACCACACTCCGGTACTTAGAAGTTTCGTGGTTACGAGATCATTCTCCCCACAATATTTCCTAATGTCATTTGTACTAAATCATTCACTTGTACTCACTAAAGGAGAGCTTGAACCTATGTACTTGTGTAAACCCTTCACAATTAATGAGAACTCCTCTATTCCGTGGACGTAGCCAATCTGGGTGAACCACGTACATCTTGTGTTTGCTTTCCTATCTCTATCCATTTATATACTTATCCACACTAATGACCGGAGCAATCTAGCGAAGATCACAAAAAGTGACCGTTTTCGCTACCTAGGATCTATCTTGCAAGAGAACGGAGAATTAGATGGAGATCTCAACCATAGAATACAAGCTGGATGGATGAAGTGTAAGAGTGCATCCGGCGTGTTGTGTGACCGTCGTAGGCCACTGAAGCTCAAGGGAAAATTTTATAGGACGGCAATAAGGCCAGCGATGTTGTATGGCACAGAATGTTGGGCGGTGAAGCATCAACACGTACACAAAATGGGTGTAGCGGAGATGAGGATGCTTCGTGGGATGTATGGGCACACGATAAAGGATAAGATTGGGAATGAGGATATCCGAGGTAAAGTAGGAGTAGCCAAAATTGAAGGAAATATGAGAGAAAATCGGTTCCGGTGGTTTGGACATGTGGAAAGAAGGCCTACTGACGCTCCGGTTCGAAAATGTGATTACGGGACAGAGGTTCAGGGCCGAAGGGGTAGAGGAAGACCTAGGAAAACTTTGGAAGAGACCCTAAGAAAAGACTTGAGTACTTGGATCTAACGAAGGACATGACACAAAACCGAGCGCAATGGCGTTCTAGGATTCATATAGCCGACCCCACTTAGTGGGAAAAGGCTTTGTTGTTGTTGTTGTTGTTGCACTTATATCTCAAACGAGATTGTTTACATGATAGAGCAACCATTGACATTGTCTGACATTGTCGTCACTGCAGATAGTGTAAGGATCAGTTGCTTTTGATGTTGAAGCCCAGAAGAAGATTGAAGCTGCTATTCGCCAGGTTAGTGGTAATGTGATTATTGTCTTTGTCAAAGGAGTGAGGTTCACAGAAGATAATTCAACTCCATAGTTTCTTTAATAACCTGGAGCTGTAGTTGTTCTTTCCTCAAATATTTGCAGTGGTAACGTACTCTTAAAAATCAATTCTTAATTGTTCACAATATGTATTTTGTTTTTTATTTTTTTATTTTTTTTAGGGTAGTGCTATCCACACGCCCTTTTTACTTCCACACACCCCTTTTGGAGTGTGTGGATAGCACCACCCTTTTTTAATATTGCTTATTTCCTTTGCAGAAAGGAATTGATGAAAATTGGGCTGCTGCTCTGGAGCATAACCCTGAAGCTTTTGCAGGAGTGGTATGTATGATTATCAGCTTTCTCTACCAGTGTTATCATTTTAAATTGGTATTTTGTTTGATGTTCTATGTTTTTCCAGGTTATGTTGTATGTTGACATGGAAGTGAATGGTGTCCCGTTGAAGGTAATTATTCCCTAATAGCTTAGGAATGTTACTCTTCTTTCTCTTCAGTTCAATGTGATATGAGATGGCTGGAATATTTTTCTGTCATCTGTGTTGCCTTCCTAATTCGACTGCCCTTTATGTTTCCTGTACAACTCAATAAAGGCTATCCATCTCAACTAAGCCTTCTTTATGGATTGTCTGTACTTTAAGTACTTGCAAAAGTTACATACTTTGTTGATTTCCACTTGTATCCAGGCATTTGTTGACAGTGGAGCGCAGTCAACTATTATATCAAAAAGTTGTGCCGAGCGTTGTGGGTATGAGCTAATTTTAACTATTAGACTACTCTTTACTGGTTGTGAAAGTATATTTAAACAATCGACTCATTTTAATATTCTATTGATGAATATGCTTGGATCATGTACTCGAGTCTCGTGCCTGTTTGGATTAGCAAGTTTGGTGCTATTATCTGGGCTATTGGTCCACTGTCTATTAATTGTGTGGTTGTGTGTTTCATGGTGGACACTTAGTGGCCCAAACACAATAAATATGCATGCATGATTTTAAGATGAATACGGATGTTGATTTGGATAACAATCTCAGTGGTTGTTTTCACTAGCTACTTTATATCATGTCACTATAGCCACTTTTAGATAAGATCTTGCCACCAACCCTCAGATAAGTTCATGTGACAAGGAGACAATTTTTGAATGCTTTATTGCTGTTTTCTTTATTAGAATTTCTGTTGATTTTTTTTTTTCATATTTTTATGAATACTGATGTTGATTTGGATGCATGAGAGAACCGTAGGAGGTAGTTCAACAACAATCTCAGTCGGTTTTTTTTTTTTCACCGACTATATATCATAGAACTTTAGCCACATAAATTTTGCTTTGCGACCAACTCTTCTGGTAAGTTTTACTGCTGCTTTCTTTATTAAATTCTTTTGATTCTTTTTATTTCATATTTTATGAATAATGTGAGAGTTACAGGAGTAAAAGCCTAAGTTGTGTTGTTTTGGGCATTAAACTCTCTAGATTGTTGAGGCTTTTTTATCAACGTTATAAGGGCATTGCTCATGGAGTTGGTCAATCAGAGATATTGGGTCGTATACATGTAGCTCCAATCAAGGTAGCTGCCTATGCTGAGCAAATCCATATTATTTTATACTCTATCTGAAATGTTTACTTGAGTGACAGGCTTTTTAACATTGTTTCTGTAGATTGGAAGTATATTTTACCCTTGTTCATTGATGGTTCTCGATGCTCCGAATATGGAGTTTCTCTTTGGGTTGGATATGCTCCGTAAGCATCAGGTACGTAGAATCCATGCTCCAAATTCTGTGAAAGCTGTCTTTCTCAATTGTTGTAATTAATGAGGAGCATGATTTGTTAGTCACTTAAGTCTTCTAACATTAAAGATGTCTTCAGTGCATTATAGATTTGAACGAAAATGTCTTGAGAGTTGGCGGTGGAGAAGTTTCTGTACCATTTTTGCAAGGTACCCATGATCTCTATGTATGTATGTATAAATATTCTGGAATATTTATGGTCCTTTGCTAAAGAAAAATCTAAAACTATGTATTTGTTTCAGAAAAAGGCATCCCATCTCGTTTTCTCGATGAAGAAAGGTTCTCCAAGGAAGCATCCAGCTCAGGAGCTCCTGTAAGTCTGCTCGAGTTTATGCTTTTCCTGAAGTCAAGGATTCTTGCTGTTTGCAGTTTCCGGTTCTTAAATGCATAATAATAATAAAATTTAGGATCAAAATTCTGTTGTTATCCGTAAAAACAGTTGGATCATCTTGTATGAGGCCATTTGTGGAGCCAAAAATAATCACAAGACGACACGTGGATTTTTGGGTAAAAGAGGACAAAAATAACCTTGAGGCATACCGGGATTCCTACGCACGAGCAGCGGACAATCATCCATCAATCAAGTCAAAAGTGTCCAAAATAGGTAACAAATTCAAAGATATTCTTATCCATCCTCATCTTAGGTAATTATTTTATAACCTACATAACATTACATTTAAGTGGAGGTTAATTGGCTAATTAATGGATTAATTCCTAATTAATCCATTAATCACCAATTAAAACACCTACAAAATATACCCAAAAATCCCAAAGGCCACCCTTGTTGATCCCATTATATTTACCTATTTTATCTAGTTAATTTGGCAATAACTTTATTTGCTAAATTAATTAATCAATTATTCCCATAACTCCTAAATTCAACCTAAATCAAGAACCCTATCCCTATAAATAGACTCTCATTCTCACCAAAAACCTAGGTCTTCACTCTTGCTAAAATTCTCCAAAGCTCTCAAACACTTTTCTCTCAAAATTATAACTTTGGCATCAGAGGTTCTTCGGCCAAAGCCCCCCCCCCATTCATCGTGGGCACGTGAGGCTCTTGGCCTTGACCTAAGATGTTATATGTTTTGTAGGTGCAATTTTGTCCAAGATCAAGGAGGAAAAAATTTGCATCCACAAATTGGTGCTTTCATTGAGAGGTGAGATCCATACTTGTAGAAGACTCTCGCATAAAAAGGTTTTTCTCTATTTTTTAGTCCATTTGAATATTTTTCATACGTTCTTATGATTAGAATTTTTTATTTGCAAAGGTTCTTTGATAAAGAATAAGAAAAATATAATGGCTAGAAATTTAGAAAATTCCACAAGTGAAAATTCTAATACTCAAGAAATGGGACCGCGGTGATCCATGAGGCTAAATGTGGTCATAGGCGGAGTGGTACCACCACGACGAGGTTCCACCATGGCCCAAGCCGTGCCATCCAAGCTTGCACGAGCCCGAGCCCAAGCCTCGCATCCGCATGCATCACGCACTGAGCAGCCCACTCCCGTGGCCCAGCCTACTCCCGCGGCCCAGTCTGCTACCGTGGCTTTCCAAGCAGCCCAAATTGATCCAAAATTAGTTCAACTGTCCCGGTTTCAAATTTCCAGACCGAAAATCGAACCGGGAGCATTTTCACCATATTTTTCTTCGGATTTGACATTTCCCAACTCAAATCTCGCGCCCGGAGTCTACCACACTTCCACTGCTCAAGAAGATGTATTCATTCTGAGATATTCCGATCCAAATGGCGAACAACACTTGTCTCGACAAGTCATAGAGTTGACGAGCGCCTTTGCACAACAGACAACCTTGGTGAATCAACTTTTGCAACGCACTGGGATCCAACGTGCCCCAGATGAGGTATCCTGAAGTAAGACAAGGGCAGACAAACCTTTCCAGCAGCGTCACGGCAAGCAACCACTCGACCAGCCATGAGCCGAGTGTTCGGGCAGTGTACACTCCCGATTAGGCACTCGAGATAGCGTATACTCCCGTCTTAGCGTGAGGAGGAGGGTGCATTCTCGACTAGGCCCACAGATGAGCATACATTCACAGTTGGGGTCACACTCCAATAGTCAACATGAGCAACCTTCCGGGCAAAGTGTTCATTCGCGACTAAGCCCGCAAAGAGCATCATCCACCTCACATCAGAGTAGGCAACACGACGGACGGAGAGAAGCAGTCACTCAATCCAGCTCAAGTTTAACCAGCAGCCTGCGAAGAACTCGCTTGCCTGTTAGGAATGCACCACATGCATTGCATCCGCGGCATAGACGAGCCAGACACATGGAAGAGCAGCCTAGACCAGCAAGTCATGGCTGGAGACAACCGAAAGCCTTGCTACCCCAACAAAGGCAAATTCAGGAAGAAGTAGAGAGACTCTTGACCAAGCGATTGCACAATTTCCAACGCAACGAGGTCACCGACGAGGCATTACGACGGAACATGACTAACATGAGCAGGTCACCCTTCACGGACGAGATCGAGCAGGCAGAGCCTCCACGCGAGTTCAGCATGCCACATTTCACATCTTTCAAAGGGGATGAAGACCTGGAGAGACACTTAAAGCACTACCGAAGCGCAATGATCCTTTATAGAAACAACGATGATCTCATGTGCAAGATATTCGCCACCACTCTACAAGGCAAAGCACAAGATTGGTTTTACACCCTGCCGTCACAATCCATCTGGAATTTCTATGAACTTTCTTTGGTTTTCACCAAAGAATATTCATCATATCGCTCGATCAAAAAGAAGTCCGACCATTTGTTTGACGTCAAGAAGAACCCAAATGAGTCACTTCGTGACTATGTGAGGAGATTCAACGCAGAGAAGGCAATGATGGTTGGATGCAACGACTCGATAGCTAGAGCAGTCTTCCAAAAAGGCCTTCCAGCAGACCACCTGCTATTCAGAAAATTGATCATGAAAGAAGATCTAACTCTGGCAGACTCTTTTGCTTTGGTAGAGAAGCATGCACTTTGGGACAAGGCTCGCCAATGCACATTCAAGGACTTGAAGAAGTACCCGACATCACCTCCCTAAAAGCAGCGGAGGACTTATTTGCATGTTTAATGGTATCTAAAGTAGCAATAAGCTCTACCATCATGCGAGAAGAGATAAGGGCCCGACTACCTGTATTATACAATTACATGTATTCTACAGTTCAAAAGCTCTCCTCGATGCTATTAAAAATTCAAAAGCTAACTTTGGCGATAGTTGTTGTAACCCAAAAGCTTAAGTTTTACCTTCAACGCACGCAGTCATCATCATGACGTACTATTCTGCCGAATCCAAACCTACGACGATAAAGGCGTAGACCCTAGCAGATGCAAAGTTTTCTGATGAACGCAACAACTAGGCCTAAAAGACACGCCAAGTGCAGACGAACACTAGAAGGAACACTCAGAAGCAAGTTTTGTCCTCGTCGCCCCAGAAGATTATACATAAGAGCAACATGTACTGGCAGTCGAGCACTACCTCCTGCTGCGCATCACATGGCCCTAGCCGACCCTTGCTCCATTATTCAGCTCTAGAGTGACCTAATACCGAAAGTTGAGCATCTTCTGCTACATGTAACATGGCCCCAGCTCCACGGCTCCCTACCGCCCCTTCAAGCCTAGCCTTAACAATGTAACAGAGCGGCCCAACGACGCCCCTAAGGTAGCTGAGCACACTTTAGCCACACCTACTCCCTCAATGGAGATTTCTGGCATTTGCATGTCGATGGCGCATCCAACTATAAAGGCTCGTGAGCAGCCGTGGTTCTTGCCACCCTAGATGGTTCAATGCTCGAGCAGGCGATCACTCTAAGCTTCAAAGCATCTAACAACGAAGTAGAGTACAAAGCCCCACTAGCAGGCCTTCGAATGACAAAAGACTTAGTGGTGAAAGAGCTTTCAATTCTTTTCGATTCCCAGCTAATCACCAGCCAGACTACTAGGGGCAAAGGCATGATAATCGTGGCAACCGACTACTTCACCAAATAGATAGAAGCAGAGCCCATGATGATCACGATTCAGACTGACATAGAGCACTTCATATGAAGGAACATCATTTACCGATTTGGCATCCCTCAGTCCATCGTCACCCACAACGGCCCGCAATTCATAGGCAGAAATTTGGCGAAGTTCTTCCAAAAATATGGCATCAAACAGCACATGTCCATGCCAATATATCCTCAAGGCAATGAGTAAGCCGAAGCATCTAACAAAATGATCTTCGAATGCCTCAAGAAATCCCTCACCAACAAGAAGGGAAAATGGCCAGACGAACTCCCCGGATGTCTATGGGTATATCGCACCACCAAAAGATGAGCAATCGATGAAACTTCTTTCTCTTTGGCATTTAGTTCGAAAGCAATCATTCATCCAAATGTCATCAAGCCAAGTATCAACGCTCTACTACCAAGCATTGAGCAGAACAGTAAGGAGATGGTCACAAGCTTAGATCTAGCAAAGGAGAAGTGCGAGCAGACCAGCACCTGCATTGCAGCCTACCAGCAGCAGCTCCTCACTAACTACAACAAAAGGGCCAAGATCCGGCAATTCCAGCCCGGATATCTAATCCTAAGAAAAACCTTCATCATTGCCCGTAGAGAATGCTCCAAAAATATGGGTCTCATCTGGGAAGGTCCATACAAGATCAGCAAAGTAAGCGGTAAAAGTAATTACACCCTCGCCACCATGAAACGACAAAAAAATCGAAAAGCAGTGGAACGCCTACAATCTGATGAAGTACCATGTGTGACCTCTCGCTACATAAAAGCCTGAAGACTCAAGCAACTCGACGGGCACCACCTCATAAGCCGATAACTATCCAGTTGTTATGCAGTTCCTACCTTACAGCTAAGTTCTCGTTCGTTTCACTCATTTTTCAATGAGGAATTTAGAAGTAATCACAACTTGGCTTGGCTGCATGCTTACAACAACTAATCACTTATGCACTTCAAAAGAAGACTACGCCTTTCTTAGGGACTCATTGCAGAAATTGCGCACCCCGAGAGACCAACCATTGCTTTCCAGTGCGAGAGGGTAAACTAATTGCTCTCCAATGCGAGAGGGTAAACCAATTCCCCGACACCCATATGGGTCAGTTCTCCAAGACGAGAGGATAAATTTTAAACTCCGAATATCCAGACGTGGATGAGCCTGGCTACCCTAGTATAACTAGATGCACGATGGCTTACACCGGGATTCCTAGAAGTAGCCACAATGGTCATTTTCAAGACTTAGCTAACTGAAGGATTTTGGGTCTCTTGGCCTAATTCGTGGGGAATCGGGCCCTAGAGACGGAGGGGGCACATTACGCAGTACGCCCTACAGACGGCTGCCCTGGAACCCTAAAGATGCTACCAAGTGCACTAAGGTAGTCTACGGATTCCAGAAGACTGCCTACGGCTT